CTATAAACATTGGTATGCCTATATCACTGTAGTATGCTGATTTTGGTTCTTTTGGATAAAAACTGAAAAGCAGCACAGCTGGGTCATATGGTGATTCCACTCCTAGTCTTTTGAAAAATTGTACATTGCTTTCCATAGTGTTTGTACTAATACGCAGTCCTACCCAAAATACATGTGTAATTTTTCCCCACATCTTCACCAGCTTTTATTATTTGTATTCTTGATGATTTTCATTCTGATTAAAGTTAGATGAAATCTCAACCTACTTTTGATATGCTTTTCCCTGATTGCTAGAGATGTTGAACATTTTTTTCACATATTTGTTGGCTATTTCTATTTCTCTGAGCAGTTATTTTTTTAAAAAGTAAACTTTTTATCAAGTTACTCCTTACAGAGTTATTTTTATCATTTGGCTACTGCTTGACAACATTTAGACATATAATAATTCCACATGGAATGAAAGATTTTTTATTTAATTGATTTTATTAAAGTTTCCTTTTTTTGTAGAAAGGTCCACCTTCATAGGTACAATTATTATAGAATGAAAGTATGCTCTTCAATTTTTAGTGCTTTATGATAACTAGAAGATAATTTTTGTGTACCTTTAGATGTAGTTTTAAAAATCCTATGCTGAACTACCATTTTAATGTTTTTTACCAGGATTTATTTGCTTTTAGTAGAATATAGTTTTTCTTCACATCAAAGGACATTGTTTTTTTGAGGTACAGATTTATTTATTCCATTCATAAAGAGTTTCCTATAATTTTTGCAGTTTCATTCATTCATTTGAATTTTCATGCCTTACCATTTCCTAGTGATGGGGGTGACTATGGGGAAGTTTTATCTAATTTACAAGATTGATTTACATAGGATTTACAAGCAAAACTCAAAAGAAATATGAAAACCTGCAGAATCTTAAGTTAACTTATTGGTAAAGTAAAATATAGAAAGAACTGAAAAATAATATTGTCTAATAAAACAAAATCCATTCTCAAATGTTTAATTTCTAACCAATGTTCTCTTTATTCTTTATTTTAGCCTTGATGTCTAAGCCACACTGTCAACAGGATGACATATGTTCTCAGATATAGAGTATGGAGATCTTTTATGAGGAGGTCCTTAAGAAACTTGTGATGACTATTAATACATTCATTTTTCAAGTGCTGTTCCTATCTCTTTCTCTCCTATTTCTATATATTTTTTAAAGTTAGAATACATCGGTTTTGCTTAGCATTTGTTAAGTGTCATCTAATTGTAAAAGATAATACAAAAATTGGTAAATTATTTTTTGCACTTCAAATTTTTAAAATTTAATTATAATTATTTTTACATGCATATTAATCACTAACATTGACAAAATTTTAATTTGAAACAAGAACAAAAGTTTACACTTTTCTACAAAAGTGTAGTATATATAATATACTACCATATGATACACAGATGTAACAGGAACTCTTATTTGTATCCAATTCTGCTACTGCCTTTTCTAGGAGCAGGAGTGAAGTTATGGGGGCAAATATTTTTCCAGAGTAAATATTACTTCTCCAAGTCTCCCTATCAACAATTTGCTACCAAGTGTCTCATTTCCAGCAATGCAATCATAGAAATGATGTGTATACCTGGGTCTTATCTTTCAATGGAAGGAAGCATTCCTCTCCATTTTATTCCTCTTTCAGAATATAGATTTGGAGTGATTTCTCTCATAGCATATAAATGAATTCAACTCTTTAAAAACACTGAGAATCCAGACAAAGAACTTAAGTTTCTGATGACTATTAAAACAGAACTATCATAGAAACAGAAATTTATTTTTAAAAAGCTTGCTTTGATAATACATCATTGCTGTATATATTCCAATTAAGAAAATTGAATTTTACTTCAGATCTCAGCCTTTGATTATTTTCTTAGTTAGTCACTTAAATATAATCCAAATTTTTTTTCATATTATACCTTCATTTATTCTGATATTAGCAACAAACATGCAAAAATAATTAATAAGAGAACAATTAACTTTTATGTATGTACCTCATCAACTACATTTAATTAAATGCTATATAATTTACTAATAGTGTCTGAGTGTTTGAAATTTCTCTTGGAAGCCAACTTTAATGTATAAATACTACAATTATATACAAGACACAAACACAACCTATTGACATATATAGGGGCTCTGAAATAAAAGGACTTTGTTGAAAATGTATGGTCACATGATTCACAGAATTCTGGAGCTATTATTATGAAACAATTTTACATATCCTAATTTCCTTATGTTTAAAATTTCCAATAATTTTAAACTTCTAACTATAATAAATATTATCCAGCTGAGGGAAAATATTTAGTATGCTTGAATATAATACTAGTTACCAACACTGGTCATATAATAACCTGTGACACATTGAAGGTTCTTTGAAACTGAATTTAGAACGTCATTCTCCCCAATGAACCCGGGTTTGAGTTTCTTTTGCAGTTTGTGATTTTATGAGGGGCCTCCTGATGTTTAGAAAGATCAAATAAATACTGAAGAGGTAGTATGTCATCCCCCAAACAGTGCTAGACTAGAAGTAGGAATATGAATATTTAATTTTGATTCTGTCCCTAGTTAGCAAAACATTTAACAGTCTAAGTATTATTATTATTATTATTATTATTACTAGTAGTAGTAGTTATAGTACTAGTAATAGAACTGGGGATTGAACCCAGGGGCTCTCTACCACTGAGCCACACCCCCACCCCCAACTCCTTTTAAAATTTTTAAATTTTGAGAAAGGGTCTTGACCTCATTAAATTTTTAAAGGTGGTCTTGAAATTGTCATGATCCTGAGTCAGCCTCCCAAGCCCCCAGGATTATAGGTGTGCTCTAGGGCATCTGGCTGAGCATTGTTATCTCTTTAAAAGATCTTAGAGAAGATGATGTTCATAATTTCTCTTTCTCTATATAATTACATCTTGTAAGTTAAGTATATTGTATATGAATGTACTTATATATATATATATATATATACAATTTTTTTTATGTAGGCACTTTAAAAAGAAATCTGTGTGTAGCCAGAAAAAATATGTAGGTGGTAATTATTTTATGGAGCTATACTGACATCCTTTGGTAAGGTTTTGGTTGATTATAATTTAATATAGTGAAAGATAAATAGAGAGTCAAACAATTACATGGCTGATAAGTAGATAAAAACCTTCAAATCCATTTAAATCTGTCTATAGAGTAATTTGGGTATGAAATTCATATTTATGATAAATAAAAGTCAAGACAAAAAGAAACTAGATCAAGTCTAAAATCTAAATATTTTGATAATACTAACTACATATTAATTACTAATAAAACATTTTATCTCTAAAATATTGAAGTACAAAGCTGGTAAGATTAAGCAGATAAAACTTGCAAATTATGAACACGGTATTTTCTCCTTATGACAATACACAACAACAATAACAACAGAAACGTAAATGGAGAATCAAGGAGAGAAAGTTTACTAAAAAAACAAACAAATAAACATTTGAAACCGCAACAACTATTACTCTGGTAACACATCAGGTCTGATGGCAATTTGACTTGGCGCTCCCATTAATACTTGGGAGTGTGGTGACAGCATGGTAAAGAAAAATATATGCTAGAAGAAAAAAAAAAAAGAAGTATCTATTTAGAAAAAAAAAAGAAGAAGAATTGCAAGAAACAATTGCAGAATCCTGTTCCTGGGATTGTATTACGGACGCAGGCGGATTAGATTGGGTTGATTACCTTAGCTTGAAACAGAGAGTCTTTCTGCCCTGCGGGGGAGGGGACTCCTTTCAAGCAGAGCCCTCCTCTCGGATGCGCCCTCCCCTTGCATTCACTTGCAAATCGCTGTGTGCTCGCAGAAGCAAGCACTTCCCCAGTCTCTAACCTTCCCATGGCGAGTGCTGCAGCTCCATCAGCAGAACCTTTCTCTCCGTGCGAGCAAGGGCTTTTCCCCCCCTTTCCTTTCTTTCTTTCTTTCTTCTTCTTCTTTTTTTTCCTCCTTAATCAGAAGCACTGAATGAAAGCCAATCAGAGAGAGAGCTCGCCCCCGTTTTCTTCGGTTCCCTGCCGTCCAGAGTTAAAAGTGATGCTGAGAGAAAGCTTGAGTTAGATTGAAGTAGAATCAGTGATAGAAAATAATAGCAGAAAACAAACAAAAAGGGGACCTAGTGACAGTTTCTCCAGGGTTATTTTGGCTGGAACCAACTTCCGCTATCCAGAAGCTGATAAAAAAAAAGGTAGGAAGCCTTCACCTCTTTTCTTTAACTCCCTTAAGGTCTTTTTCTTTTCTTCCCTTGGGGGAGATATGTTTGTTTTTTAAGTTGTATTTAACAATTATTTCAAAATAATTATGTTTAATAAACAAATAAGGATACAACTCTTTATAGCAGATTCCAGAAAATACTGGGAATATCTATATAGGTAATGCAAAACTGGATAAATTATATATTATGCTCAACAGTAGATCATGTTATTAGAGTTTGCAAATTCATTCACTCTGAACAAACGCTAAAATTTTATTGTGGAGTGTAATTTGTCATGCTCATATTTGTTTATTTTAAAAATCAGTTTAAGAAGGAACATTGTTGCTGTGAACTCTAACATCACCTAACATTACTTTGCATTCCATATGAATGGATTCACTCTGTACTTCTTCATAGTCATAGTTCATTGTATCTTCAGTATAAAGAGAGATGACAGGCAGAAGAGAGATTCCTTGAAGCTGTCAATGGTCACTAAGCATCTATATATACAGTAGATTGACATTCATTAGAAATAAAATAGGCATAATGCCTATATTCACATTTTAAATCTGAGTCAGAAGTATGAGGGGGGATAGATTAAGAAGAGGGAATTAAATGCATGTAGTCAGCAGTTGCAGCATTTATTGTCTGTGCTGCAATAAAATCCATATTTTATGTGGTGTTAAATTAATGCAGCATATTGCAAGTCTAAATGCCTGTCCCCAACAAGTAACTATTGATAGCATTATAAGTATGGGTAAAAACAGGAGTCTGCAAGTGTTTTTATGCCTCCAAATAAAAACCTGCTATCTCTTTATCATTAAAAAAGGGGAGACTATAGGTACACTCAAAGACAAACATCATTTTAGTACCAACCTATCATCTTTTGCTTTCAAAAAAGCAGATCTGTTTCCTTAATTGTGGTCCTTTATTCCAGTAAAAGCTTTTATTATCCAAATCTGCACATCCATTTCTTCTCAGGTTTTTAGAGGTGCATTATTTTTTCTTATTTTTTTCTCTTGAAGGATCTATATTAAAAATAATCTGTCCCTCTGATGCTGACAGCTGTTATACTTCAATGCATATGTTAGTAGACTTTCTCTCTGCACACCATCCCCCTCTCTATATTTCTTTAAAACATAGCTACAAGAGCTTCTCTGTGGTGAATAACACTTGGCAAGAGTGTGCTCATTTTTTAGGTCTGGTATGGTGAGGATTTTTAATTAGTAGAACTTTCATGAAAACATTATGTCATTGACAGAGCTGCATGTTCATTTTTAGTTAAGGTGATGAAAAAAGGAAGAGGTTAGTTACAGCCTAGAAAAATGGGTAAATAAGTTGCCCGGATAATCTCTGCCCTTTTGCACCCAGTGTAGTAAATGTGGCACATATGTATTCAATGTGCAGTGCATAAGGAAATAGGGGCTTCTGTGGGAAGGGAGGAGTGCAGGGATGGGTAAATGAACAAATATAAACAGCCTGTGTCTGGTTGAGGGACACATCAAATGAAAAGCCACTCTGATGATAAAAATATAAAGAAATGCTCCTTTGATATGCTGTCTTTTTTTTTTTTTCTTTTTTTCTTGGCTGTGTTTATAAAGTATGAGTCAATGTCTGCTTTCATTAAATCAGATACTTCTTTGGTTTCAAATACTTGCTGCTAACAAATTGACTTCCCTGGTGAATGCCTTTGCCTTCTCTGACTCCAGTCAAATAATAGAATTCCATTTACTTGATGTTGGGGGGTGGAGAGAACCAAGGAAATGGGAAAACAGAATGTAAACTGTATGAGAACCCATGCATGTGTGCATATATGTTTGGGTAATGGTTAAATTACCTGTTACCTGATTAAGGTTCCAGGTGATATTCCCTGATACTTATTAAAAAAAAAACCTGTTTATTATGAAAAAAAATAGTACTATACAGGTTTCAGTTTAACATTTCACTGTTAGGTTTTACCTATGCTGAGGTTTTCTCTAAAAAAAAAATAAATGAATGATTTTCTGCCTAGGCAGATACACATTTTTGGCAAATTATTAAGAAAGTTCATTTAAAAAAACAACAAATGATTTTTTTCATGTTAAAAGTAAAATGTTTGAAACTGAAAATGTAATTTGCAAAATTTATGAACTCTGATGAAAATAAAGGGTGAAAGTGTTGACCTCTACTGAATTCCACATTGAAACAAATAACTAAAGCAAAGTATTTGTTATCTGGGGGATTTCTTGCCATATGACTTATTTCCTATGTTTTTTAACCTACTTTGCAGCAAGTGATAGCACCATGTCCTCCTGGAATATTTCCTTTTTATACCGAATCATTCCACTAGGCTGCAGCACAGGAATAGCAGTGACTATGATGATGCTGATTCAGCAGCAAAGTGAACTATATTTTTGTTAAGTGTTATTATCAGTAACAATGTTGCACAGTAAGCAATTAGTACAAATCATGGATATAATTCAACTATATTCTAGTTTTGGGGCTTCAAAAATATTAGCCACAGTTTATTCTTATTTTTGCTATGTAATTTGCATTCTAATACTATTGCCACATTAGAATTGCTTAGAAATTACTGAAACAAAGTATGTAGAGAGAAATGTAAAAAGTAATTATGCCAATCATCACTAATTTCATTCAGATATTTCATCTGAATTTCAGGTGTAGGTTTTGAATACTATTGTTGATTTACCCAAAATATTATTTTGGAACAGGACTTTAGAAATGTCAATTTACTAACTACATTAGATTTAATAGTTCTGTCTGAAAGAGACTGAAATGAAAAATCAAGTAGCAAGAAAGACTCCCTTATTCTTGTTAGATTTATATTGAACAAATGTAAAATTGACTAATCATTGCTATAATTATAATTTATGATACTTATTATGAATGTTTGGGGGAAGAAACCAAATTCCAAAGAATGACAATTTAAACATATAGATGAAAAATGAAATATAATGTACAAAAATTTGATTTTCTTTTGATAATTCTTATTTAGACCAATGGGTTCATCCAGAAAATTTTGTTTTGTCATAGTAACCTGAAACACATATAGAGAAAATATCCTAATGTTAAATGTTTTAAATCTGCCTTTTTTGTTGTTGTTGTTCTTACTTAAAATATTTGGATCATGTTCAGAGAGCATTAATATGACACATTTTGCTTTTAATCCAATGAATTCAACACTCAAAAATTAGAGATTTCTCTTATGTATATAATGAGAAAATTTTCAAACAAGAAGCAATGCTATCAATTCAGGGTCACCTCTGTCCTCTTACTTTCTGACTCTACTGTAGCCTTACCTCACTTGACATTTTAGTATGAGCCCTTGAGCCCTTGACAGTCTAGTTGTGTTTTCTTGTTTAACTGGATGGTGCCTGAAACATGTAAGGCCATTTTGTTTTTTCCTTACCTTCCCGATAACCTCCAATCCAACTAAAATAAGACATGAGCATTGTAAGATGATCAGATCAATCACATTAAAGTTGTAGATTTCTGGGAATGTATGATCTTTAATGAAATATTAATACTGATCAGTTAAAATAATCTGACAGGTCAGGTTTTTAAACATTGTTTTAGAGTCAACTTTTGCTTAACACTTTAGTATCAATGTGACTTCTTGCAAAAAGTAACGTAAAATTTAAGAATAAAATGCTTTTTTAAAAACCAATTGTTTTTTTTGTTTTGTTTTGTTTTTTTGCTGCAGTGTGATGTCTTAATCTCTATACCTCTTTATGACTAAGAAACACTTGTCAAACATACTAACCATATTGGAAGTAGGATTAAGAAAAAGAGAAAGAAACTTCTAATTGAATGAAAATGGGTAAAATAAAATCACTTTTTACATCATTTTAGCTTGTAAGGTTCCTTGAAAATGCTTGCTTGTGGGAGGTTGAAATACCTTCATGTGACAATCCCTCTCAGCAAAGAGATCCATATCCTTCAAGAGTTTATCAGTACGTTTTAAAGCACTTTACCAAATCATGTGATCTCAATTTCAATACCTTTTTTTTTTTTTTTTTAGAAAGCAGGCTTGATTCTACAAACTCTGTATGATGCAGTTATGTAAATTAAAGTTAAATGATATTTTAAGCTTCAGGACAAGATTAAGCAATAGGCCATAAGATAGAATACAATACTTTCTCACAACAGGAAATTCAGCATTAAATGACATGTCTAAACTCTTCAGAATCCTATTTGTCTTCATAAATGGAACAGTAAGATTTTTTTTTCTCTCTCCCTTCTCCTTTTTCTTCCTCCTCCCTCTCTCCCTCTTTCCTTTGCTTCCTCATTTGTGACAATTACAAAAGTACTTAAATAAATATTTCATGTGCTTTTTTATATTGCCCTATATCAATAATATTTCTGTAAATCTTGTGTTTTTATGACCAGTATTCTAACGTCTGCCACATTATACACTGTATTTATTGCATTATGCTTTGCATCATAGCATAAAGTATTTGACAGTTCAGTTGGCTAAAGTGTGTCTTTAAAAATGAAAGCGATTCTTATTTATAAGATTGAGGCTTCTGAGAAGTTGAAATTGGCACCAACGTAGTTGATTGTACTAGCAAGGAAATATGGAATCCAGCATTTATTAATGGAATTTCTTCTGCAAATAATCAGACTGTAGACTGCATAGGCATGAATTATTATACTCAGTGCATCAGTTATTGATTGTGGATCTGTGTTGATTTGCTGTATGAGAAAGTATTTAAGTAGTTTGATAGAGCCTTGATTTTAAATATAAATCAAATATAAATTTCATATTTTCAGAAAGCAGTGGTTCATTAGACATGTGGATTTTTCTTTATTGTGAAAAAGAAATACACCAGTTTTTAATATAAGAAAAAACCCTGATATGTAGGGAAAGATGTCTACTCTTAGTATTGTGGAGTAAAGAACTGGCTCCTGATTTCCAATTAAAAACTTGGGAAATGAGTTGGAACAATAATCAGGTTAAGTAGAACTTGTTGCAAATTAAAATAATCAACAGG